GGCCTAGAATCCAAATCTCGTGTAGTCCTCTCGGAGAAGAGCATTTTTGAACAATTTAAACGAGTTAACAGTGATAAAGAACAGATAAACAGGTGGTTGTACCGTAAAACCTGTATTAGAAGGGCCCTCTGTGATAAATGACCTATATTAAATCGAATTTTTTTTTACAGAGAACTCTGCGAAAACGACATGTGGTATTTTCCGGTGATCGACGGCGGTGAATGTGTACTTCAGAAGACGTCTTCAGTTGAAGAACTTTTACACTTTACGGATGAGAAAAACGAGGAAATCGCGGCGGCACCAATGCGAGCCATTTGTGAGAACAGTCACTATTTCGAAGGAATGTTCTCGTCGAATTTCGTCGAAAAAACCGAGGCGATTCGAAAATTCCAGTTGCAATCCGAGTCGTGTCCGCCTGGGGATTTCCGACTGTTCATCCATCTCCTTGCCACGTGTACCGGGCCATGTACGGTAGTCGCGTCGGCCGAGCAATGTGCGAATCTGTTGGCGGTGAGGGTTTCGCCTTGGAAAATATGGATGATTTTTGAATTTTTTGCAGCTCTCGGATCAATTCCTCTGTCCTACGATATCCAAACAGCTGTGCGCGGATGATGGACCACTACGAACGTTGCTAAATGGGCGGAGCTTGCACACATTGCTACCAGTGGCTCTAGCAACGAATGCACATCCAACGTAAGTTTTAGGTCATGGCCTTGATAGGTCATCATATTGAATTTTCAGCCTTCTCGACACCGTGTACCTGACTCTGGTCCGCTTCTCATCATCAGAAGACGTGACGAAGGCGCTAGAAGCGATTTGTCAGAATTCTACAGTAGTCAACACGTTTGTCACAAGTTTAAGAACGTTTTTGACCACTAAATGTTGATTGTTTGTTGTGCTAATATCGGGTATCTCGATTTTCTTGTCCTAAAAATAAACGATTTTTTTCAAAAGAATTTTAGATCAATGTCTTCTTTTAGGCGAATTTTATCGATTTTTGAATAGTTCTCATCGTATAACCAATGAAATTCATCGCAAAGTCGACATAAATAGACCAGTTCTGATTTAGAAATTCTGAAAAAATGCCTTCAAATTTTTTATTCGGGTCACGACTGGAGGAGAATTAATTTTTTGTTTTTTTCAATTTTTATATTTTTTGCAATATAAAACTTGTTTATCTGTTCTTTATCACTGTTTATCACTGTTAAAATTGTTCAAAAATGCTCTTCTCCGAGAGGACTACACGAGGTTT